GAGATTAACACCAAGATTATCACCAGACATACAATCAGCAGTAAACAATGCACCTAATCAAGGAACTACCGGGTGTGGGGGGGGGGGAGAATAAAATAAAACCCACAGCCCCACCAACACTGCCAGGACACACCACTGTATATAAACAGAGAGGAAACCCCATTTCATTCTAGCACTGCAGATGTTACCTAGCCGGGTAATGAAACGTTCATAAGGAAACAGCCAAGCTCTGAGAACCCCAAGGACTCCACATACTCAACTCTGTCTATAGCACAGGCATCTGTATGTTTGACCTCTGAGATCCCCAGTGTAGCAATGTAGAATGGCAGGTAGCAATCTGATAAATCAGTGGTTTGTAGTAGATTATGTCCTCCATTGGATGAACCAATTAGGCCCCATTGCCATTTTGCACAAGCTTTTACAACAACGTTTCACATCCCAAGTGTGCCAAAATGTGATATAAATCCAAAGCTTGGGGACACGTATTCTAACCAAGGGCTCACCCCTTCCTTTCAGGTGGGCTGACAAGCTAAAGGCACCAGGCTGTGGTGGAACAGAGCCACACAACTTCCAGCATCCCTTTCTGCAGGTAACATTGGCAGGATTCTGCACTACTTTGTTTCATTGTCTAAACCATTTTAAATCACATGATAGCTGGGGAATTCTGAGAGTTGAATTCCACACATCTTAAAATTGCTGCAGTAAAGAAACGCTGGTCCAAGCTCATTTCTGTGATGCCAAGGGTTGGAATCTTCCTTCCTATACTTGAATCCAGTGTTTCTTTACCTCTGTGTTAAAATTCCTCTTTTTTTCTTTTCCCTTTTTGTGTCGAATCTGCAAAATTCTTTACAGTGCTCAAATTTAAGGAAACAAGCCAGCCCATTTTCACTCCAACATTCATCAACATGTATGAAGTCAAGAGCCCTTTTGCCCTTTCACCGCTGCTAAGCAGGGGCATTGGCAGCAATGGTCACTGGTTCAAAATAACAGGCCCAGCTGGGCAATTGAAGCCCTGCCCCTTTTTAAGGTGTGTTGTATGCCAGAGACTTACTTGTGATCCTGGGTGATAGTCAAGCCAGCATTTCTCAAGCTGAAATCATAGAGATCATGGAGATGTAACCAAGTCACATATAGAGTATTTTAACAGGCATATCTCAAGCTCTTACTGCAGGTTTCCAGCTGCATGTCCACAGTCGGGTGGGAAAAAGAAAAAAGTAAACATCATATTGAGTTGAGTTCAAATCCTGATTACTGTTTCACCACATCAGTACAGTTTTCCTGGCAACAGTACAAATGGTGGGCCATTGGCGTCTTCTTAGATGTTCTTTCAACTCATCCACAGTCCTAGGATTTCCTACTGGTCTCCCATCCAATTCCTATCTAGGTCTGATCTTGTTTAGCCGCCAAAGCCAATCATGATTGAGCAAGCGCTGCCATCTACTGAGTCTTTTAGGGTAAACACAGTTGAAATGGTGATGAACCTACACTGGAAAGTCCAAATCCTTGATCCAAACCAACTTGGTAATCTGTTCCAGTTCTCTCAGGGGGCTGAGAGGGGATGGTGGCTTTTGCTGGAGATTTGCTATCCGTGACAGTCCAGTAGTTCACAAACCCTTTGGCTTGCATTCCAGGCGGTAGGCATGTTTCTGGGGGAATTTTCCTGCCTGGCTGTCTTCTACCTCCTGCTCTGCAGCGACCAGCGGAGGCCAGAGCCCACCATGGCACCTCCTCAGCCCTTTAACCTATTGCTTTTCCTGCCTCCCGCACTATGTGACATGACAGGGACTAGCCTCATGTATGTGGGTAAGTGTGTTTTCCGATGGATGTTCATGCATAAAACCCAGCATGGGAGTGGGGTGGGGGAGCTTTGCTAAGAATATGATACTCTAGAGGAGTTTAGCTCTGGCCTTGAGGAGGAGGAGGGAGAGGGAAAACAGTTGATCAGCCCTGGGAAAGGAGAAAGCGTGAGAAAGAGGCTCAGAATGGCCCTCCCTTGACCTCGTTGTCCTTAAAAAGAAGCAAGGAATGTGTACAGATTTTCAAGATTCTGCTATTATATCCTACAACAATAAAGTAAAATCCCTGAGGTGTCTGTTCCTTGGCGCTTGCCTGCCTGAAAAGGCTGACAAATACCTTCTTCTCCCTTATACCTTTTAACTCTTTTTAATATAAATCAGAACTATTTGGCATACATATCCTATAATAGTTACAGTACTTACTGGGCTATCCCTCCTTACTATCTTACTAGTACTCTCCTACTATCATATGAAAATGATGCCAACAACCTGTATGAAAAAAGGAGATTTTGTTTTTTTATCCCTGATGCAGCATTAATCTTAGAAAGGGCAAATATGCTCTTACCCGTGGAGCTGTTTCAAGAAAGGTTACATGCTAACCACAATTGTTTATGGCAATATTTGCTTGGGGGGGGGGTTGTATGTCTGTTTTAAAAATGCAATCATAATTCCATTCAGAAGCAGCTGTTTTTAATGTAGTAGGAAAAGCAAACAGTTCAGAAGAAGTGCTGTGACAAGTAGAAACTAGTACTGTACTAATATAAATGTTGATAAGCTGATCTTGTTTTTAATATAATTAAATTACACTTGTTCAGCACTGTAGTTTGAAGGTGATCCCATTGTTCTAGAACCCCCTTGAGAAGTATGTCTGATTTTCCCATTAACTAACTGATTTTAAACAGGACTTAATATCTGGTGGTTTAAATTGTCTTTAATAACTGGCTGTTTAAATATCTCTGCACAAACTGACACTGGTTTGTAGTTGAAGAGTTTTAAAAGAGAGTTCTTTTAAAGACTAGCTTTTTGCCTGGAAAGGCAATATGTTGAATGCATAGTTTACATCTGATGAAACTGAACATGTAAAGAGTGCCAAATAACGTTTTGGAATGTAGTGCACAACTCTTGATATAACCACCTACAAGTTGGGGAGAGAGAATGGAAGGATTTCCCTCATGTAAGCACTCTTTATTCTGTACTGTATAGCCTCTTTACCATAATTTTTCTTCCCCTGATCTCCCATCCTGGAGGAAGAAAAACTCTTGGCACTCAATAATGTCTAGAAAGAGTGGGGAACAACATAAGCTCTTCTATTTTGGGTATCAGATCTGTAGCCCAACTTCCAAGCGTACTTTGTTTCTCCTGCTGCAAATTCTTCTCTGATCATCATTTTCCCCTCTTTCCCCACTACCCATTTTTCAATTCCAGCTCTGAACATGACCAGCGCTTCTAGCTTTCAGATGTTGCGTGGAGCTGTGATCATCTTTACTGGCCTGCTCTCAGTAGCTTTCCTGGGAAGGAAGCTGGTTCTGAGCCAGTGGCTGGGCATCCTGATCACCATTGTAGGGCTGGTGGTGGTTGGGCTGGCAGATTTGCTGAACAATAATGATGAAAGCCACAAGCTCAGTGAGATCATCACAGGTATGCAGGGAATGTGTTCTAAAACCAGTGGCCTTGCGGTTGTACTGAAGTGCTTTCCTTTGCAACTCATGCTCCTCACCTTCAACCAGAGATCCACAGACTCACATTCCTGCCAGATGTTCTCAATATCCAAAGATGCTTCCTGACCATGCTACTGTCTCCTTCCTTTAGCATTGCGATGTTTAGGTTGGAACATTTTCCTGTTTCTCCAATCCCAGACATCTTAGTTCAGAAAGCAGTGTCCCCATACTTTCTTTTTTAGATTTCATCACTCTAATTCAGACTTCCCACACATAGTGCAGGAGTACGACCCCAGAATTTCCAACCCACAGGATCATTGACCAAGAACTACAGATGCTCTGTTCTAACACATCTGGAGAGCTGTTTGGGGGAAATTGATATGTATGTTGCAAATAGCACCCCAAAAACAGAGCATAAATATACTGTACCTCTTACCATTGAATTTATATAGCAGGGAAAGGTAAAATCAATACCTTATCCAGTAGGTCATTGATCATTATGTACTAACAGTCTATCTAGGTTAAAAAAAAATATTCATATAGTTCCAAAATAGCTTTTAAGGAGAAGGTTTCCAGAGTCTAAGCCATCCTATCTCCTCCATTTATGGGCTGCATCCTGACTAAGCACATGGTTGATTTTAACACAGGTATAACCTCTAGAGGATCATTGCTATCGTATGACAGATATTTAAAGCTTGGGGCTGTCCGGTGAAATGGATTGGCAGCAAGTCAAGAACAATTTCTTCCTGCAATTCACAGTTAGAGCATTCCACGCCACAGGCTGTTGCAGCTGGCTTAGATTATTTATATTAAACAACTAAAGACTAGAATGCTTATTTGCCATTAAGTACATAGTTAAATGGAATCTAAGTGCCTAGTTTATTATTTTATATCATGCATTTCTATTAAATTAAGTGGTTTCAATAAACCTAATATGCAATGTAATAAATAACAATAAATGTTGTTTGGGGAAAAAGAAAGAAGCATAGGGCATCTATCTCCACACGTAACAGAATAGATGGTTATTTCATATACTTTTCCTTTCAGGATTTGATAGAGTAAATAAGTGGGAGAGAGGGAAGGTATTCCTTATGGAATGCTTAGATTCTTGCTTCTCCATAGGTGACCTTCTCATCATTATGGCCCAGGTTATTGTGGCCATTCAGATGGTGCTGGAGGAGAAGTTTATCTACAAACACAATGTTCACCCTCTGCAGGCTGTTGGCACTGAAGGTATGTAAGCAATCTTGGGATGTTCACAGATGGAGGTCTGGGGTCACGTGGACCACGGGCTACCATCTCTGATGGAATGGAAAGATGGTTCATAAATAGTTTGCTGTTACAGTTGGGCCATTCCTATGTTCCATGAAGACCATCATGAACAGCAGTGAATTAGTGGCTAAAAGGATGTTCCCCAAAAGATTATTTCTATTACCTCAGTGTACAGGACATGGAATAATGGGATTAATTTGTATTCCTGAACCAAATATTCAGTGGTCCAGATAGTCCCCATAAATGTTATGATTCTATGAACTATGATAGGCTAACTCAGCACCTTGAATTAGATCTGGCAAAGTGGCAGGAACGCCAGACACTCAACTTCAAATGTCCTGGACAGAGAAGGACAAAATGGCTGCCATTTTGGACATGTTCAGAAAGGCAGTTTAGCATTTGCCCAGAGAGCTGCCATCTTCATTGGTTACAGTTAAGAGCTCTCTAGTTATCTCTAGTTTTCCAAACTGGGACAGAGATGATTTCCCAGTCATTATGACTCAATTCCTCATTATGACTAACTCAGATCTATAAAAACAAGGGAAGGGATACATTTCTTAGAACGCTATCTGTGAAATACAGCTCCATCTCCTTTCTCCAGATTGCCTCTCTCTATCTATCCTATTGGCCTAGACCTTTGCAGATTTCCAAAAACTCTGGATAATGGAGTAACTTATGCTTCTAGTGGGATATTAGTGGTCTTTCCACGTATTTGCCTTTTTAAAAAAATTTAAAGTATGTGCCGCTTTTTATCTCAAAGATGAGTTAAAACAATCAGTAAGAAAAGAACAGTGACAAAAATAAATAGAAGAACTGCAGAAGGAATTCTCACATGCACCAAATGCTTAAAATTCATCAAAATCCAATTTCAAAGACAGTCTCCTCAGTCCTACCATTTTAAGTGACATTTCAAAGCCCTCAAATTGTGCGCTGTATGGAAAAGTAAATAGGGGGCATTCCCCATCAGAGGAATTGAGTATAGTGATTTAAAGTGTTGAATTAGAACCAAGGAAATCCACATTCAAATCCACCATCTGCCTCACTGGGTGACTTTGGATCAATCACTTCTCTGCCTAATCTACTTCACAAGATTGTTGTAAGGTAAATTGGAAGGGAGATGCCTATTTAAGCTGCCTTGGGCTCCTGAAGAAAAGGTGGGATGTAAAGACTCTATGGGTGGATGGGGTAGGCAAACTGAAGGTTTTTCATCTCTGCCCTATATAAATTTTTTAGCTTTCTTTTCTGTCTGGGACTGAAAAAGGCATAGGACTTAGATAAAGCACAGCAGGAAATTAAATGCATAATTGCCATTCTAGACAGGAGTTCCAAGTGTTAACCTGGAACATCTAGTTAAAAGCTGTCATGGGAGAGAATGGCAGCTTGAAAATGACAGTGGAGAAGACAAAAATGGAAGGTCTCCTATTGCAGGAGACACAATATACACTGCTATTCAAAATCAGAAATGATGCAAATAGTTAAGTAAGTTTCCTTCCTTCAGATTTTGATGGCACCTGTGAATTGCCTACTCTCTTACACTTCCCAAAGTGACCAGTTTTCCTCCTTTCTCGCTTGTAGAAAAATATCGCCTTTTTTTAGCGATCACTTTCCTTAAGGAAAGGAAAGCTGTGTATGGACTGCAAATCCCAGAATTCCCAGAGAGCAAAGCTGAGCATTCTGGGAGTAATAGTCTCAACCTATCTAGACAGCTATAGGTTGGAGAAGGTAGCTTTGTGACTACTGGAAAGTATTTTAAGTTGAATGTCTCCTGGAGTTTCAGCAGGTAGCAGTACCTGGCCAATCTTGCCTGGACCTGGAAGCCAAATAGGGTACAGGTGGGAGATTAGCAGGAACTTCCAGAGGTGTAGCCAGATTGGGAGATTAAAAAAAGCAATGTCAAGCAACTTCTTTACTCTTGCCAATGAAACTGCATGGCTGCATCCATGTGATCACCAGGACTTGAGCCCAACTCAAAGACGTCTTTACCTTTTTGACAGGAGCCAATTGGAGGATAACCTAGACTCATGATCCTCCTGGGTTTCAGTCTCCTTCATTTCTTCCTCCTTTTTAACAGGTTTCTTTGGGTTCGTCATTCTCTCCATCATCCTGGTGCCCATGTACTTCATTCCTGGGGGCAGTTTCAGCGGTAGCCCACGGCAAGTACTGGAAGATTCTATAGATGCCTTCTGCCAGATTGGCCACCTGCCACTCATTGCTGTAGCCCTGCTGGGCAATATCAGCAGCATTGCCTTCTTCAACTTTGCTGGCATCAGTGTCACGAAAGAGATCAGCGCTACCACCCGGATGGTACTTGATAGCCTGCGCACCATGGTCATCTGGGTTGTCAGCCTTGCCATTGGCTGGGAGGTCTTTCATGGACTGCAGATCCTTGGCTTCCTCATCCTCCTTGCTGGAGCTGCCCTTTATAATGGACTGCACCAGCCCCTCCTTGCCCGCCTGCCGTGGGGGAGGCCACCAGCAGGGGTTGCAGCCAGAGATGCAGATAGAGAAGGTCTCCTGGCCACAGATGAGCTTTCCATTAATGGAGATAGTTGATGGCAATGGAACTCTTACTGCTGCACCACAACTTTGGACCTCTTATTGAACGAATTAGCCTGTATTGCTGGGAGATCAGGCTAAAAATGCTCAACTGGTTTCAAGATCTGCTTTGTAGCTCTGGGGATGCTTTGCTTAACTTTAAACATCTAGATACTTCTCCATCATTTCATTCTTTTCCCCTTTACTGAAGGAAGCAAAGGAAGCTTACCATTTCTCTAGCAGCACAGAGTAGAGGTCTGCTGCTGCTAAGCAGCCCTCAAGTGGTTATGGGCTCTCTCCTGGGGTTGCTGGGAAGCCATCTAAAATCTTGCTCCATCTTTCATCATCAGCATTTTGGGATGGGGACAGTGGATGTAATTGGCAACGTTTCCTGGAAACCTTATAGCTCCTAAGCTGTACATATGGGTGGGTACCTGTCACTTCATTGTTTATCTTCTGTTAAAGTAACATCACAGAGCAATTGGAGGAGGACATTTGCTTGTCCCCAGTAGTCCAATCTGCATAAAGGATACTCTCATGCTTCTGCCAAGCAGAATCTTGCCTACTCTACTTAAAAAAGAAGAGTGCAAATAACCATCTTTCCCTGAATTGCAATTTTCATAATTTCTCATTCTCACTACTTTTTCCAAAGCGACCTTCCCTAACTTGCTCCTTTCCCTATATTGGCCATGTGGGATGGAGAAGATGGGCATTTTAATTCAACAGATGCAAGAGGGAACATCATATTGGGAAATGTTTCCCTAATCTGCCTATGTATTCTTTGCCTTTTTCTTGATCCTTTAGGTAAGAGCTGCCCTAGTGAGGTCTAGCGAAGGGCTTTCAGTTGCTGCTTTCCCTGTGCTTGTGAGAAGTGTGCTGCTGACCTGGGGCAAAAGCTGGCTTGCAACCATGCTGGTGTTTGGGTAGTAAGATGGGAGCTGCTTTATTCAGCAGCCTGGGCGTCAAGGGCATTACATGCTACAGGCTACAGTCTGGAATTACAGCCCAGCATCTTTTGCCCCCTGATACCCAAGATCTGGGATTGGTGAAGCCATTCAAGCTGCTAAAAAGAATCAGTGGCCCTGGGATCATGCAGTTACACATTTTGGAAGGAGGGAGCAAAAGAGTTACTTATATGTGCTGTTTTGCTGTTTTTACTGAAAAGGCCTAGAGTTTAGAGGCCAAGTGCCAAGGATTTTTTCTGAAGCAGGTTGGGCCTTTGGCACAGTTGATGTACTCCTTTGATGCCTGCTCACTTATCCACGCCTGTCTGAGCAGCAAGGAGGAAATAGGGACTTAGTAGGAAAAGAGAACACATGATTCATTTCCAGACCATTGCTGTTTCCAAAGATGCTACTGTCCTCCCTTGAGCCCCCCTTAGAAGAAAGCCCATGATAGAGCAGACATCCTGATGAGCTGTGGACTATTGATGGATCTTCGGGGCTCCATTGCACAAAGGGTGCCTTCTTTTCCAGGACGTCCTAAGTAAGGCCATCAAGATACCTGAGATCAATTGTCCAGGCATGAGCAATCCCTCTCTCCTTGACAGCTTTCTTAAGTGCTGAGCAGATCTTGCCCTTGTGTCCTTGGCAGCTGATGACACTGTTGGGTCATACTCGGTTGGGGCATGGGATAAGGGTAACGGTTGGGTTTCTCCAAGTTGGGAGATATTAACAAGAACGCAGTTTTGTAATCAATAAAATACTTTCTGATTTGAAATCCTTTCATGTCTGTTAAGCTGAAATTTATTTTTTTAATGTGGACTTTTTAAAATAATGTTTCATCAGCACAGCTCTCCTGAAGTCTCTGCAGGAATGGCTGGGGGTGGGTCTCAGAACAGTACCTAGATGAAGAGAACTACGATTTGAAAAGATCAATAGGCATGTGACAGCAATAATCAAATGACAACATATGGAGGTGTTCACACATACACTGGGGGTCTGGATGTAACCAGCATAATGTGTTGGTACACAACTTACTGATGGACTATTTAGTTTTTTAAAACAAGGTTCAAGTCCTTCATGATAAAAAAAAAAAACTTGATTTTTCATGAGCTAGACTTACTGGCAGTCTTAGGTCTTGCTTCCTCCTCTTTAAAATTCAGACTGATAGATCTGCAGCTTTGCACATACATATTTTCATAATTTGACCTTAGGTTAGTCTGCTGCTGAGGTTTTCATTCTGTGGGTGTAGACCTCCTCTTAATGATTGCTAGATATCTTAATGTTGGGAAAGTGCAGAATTATGGCTTGCTTGAGTTCCAAGTGATGTAAGATTGAAAACACAGGTAGGTGAGCTATTTAGCCAGGCTGCAAAGATGAAGCGGGCCACTCATTTTAGAGGGGAATAGTGATGTTGGCACCTGTCTGACCTAAATACCTAAAAAAAAAATAAATTGAAAACTAGTATGCTGCAAAGCAAAATACCAGTGATGGTATAAGTCTAATTTACAATGATTTCTCTATTTCACAAAGAGTGCATAAGCATTCTTACGAAATTAATCTGGGGGTGACTGCAACTAGTGCTTTGTTTGGATATGTGTAGATTTTCCTTATTCCTGATCCTGTTAACCTGGAAGCCAAGCACTAAACTTAGAACAGCATTCAAGAAAGAAGATACTCTTACGATTGGCTCATTTGACAAGTGTTTATGAAGTGCAGTGCCTCCAATTAAGCAAACCCAACTTAGGGTTTTATCACCTTCATTTCTCGGAGTTTTCATTTGGAGGAGAGTTGTAATGCACAAGTTCAGCCTTTCTCAATTTGATGCCTCTCAGATAGAACGGATTATGTTCCTCGTGATTCTGGGCCATCACATCCATCGGATTGATGCAGCTGGAGATAATGGTAGTCACAGCTGGGCCAAAGGGAGAGGCACTGAACGACCAAAACAGGAAGCTCCCTTCCTCAACTGCCTAAGGGGCATATTCTGAAATCAGCTCTGGACTAAAATTATATTTGTAAACCACCAAATCGTTGCAGACTGTTGAGATGGCAGAATCATTGGCTCAGTTATTTCCTGCAGGGGCAAATGCCGGGATATAGCAGTCTGATCTTGTAAGGCTCTTGTGCCACTCTGAACATAACGAATTACTTGAGTTTATGCAGTCTACTATATTTCTAAGGGTTGCATGAACCATTCAGGTAAGGGGTGGGCAATCTTTTAATATAGAAGGGGTCTCCGATGTGAAATGAGTAGAGTATTGTTCCTTTTTCCCGGAGTTTTAAGGTATATACTACAGCTTGGAGAAGCTTTTCACTTCAAATTGTTGACAGTGTTCAGCAATCATAGCCAGATTGTGGTGCTGGGGGCAGAAAAAGAAGGCTTAGAAACCTTAATTGCCTTAGCCACCCAGCATCTCTAATTTTGGGGGG